TAACTGCAGTGTGTAGCATGCTCTCCTCTCATTGGTCAGTCAATGAAACCCTCGCTGATTGGTTGTAAGCTAAGCGACAGCGCCCTTTAGGATGTGATCATCCTGCGACAGAATCCCACTAACGCTGCTAACGCTGCTAGTGCTGCCAGTGCTTCCCTACAAAACATCAAACTTGCAGTTGCTGCCTGTGTCTCAGCTGCACTTCAAACTGCCGGACCACAGGTACCATCCATAATGTTTTTGATGAACACCTTTTGAATATAAATTTTAAATACCATCTTCAGCAGCAGGTGCTTTTGTCGCAGGATGATGACATCACAACAAAAGTTGCGCACCAACAGCAAAGGCTGTGTTCCATTCCAAAATTCCTCACTGTAAACTTTATCTTTTAACTGCAACGTTTAAGACGTAATTTTTACATTTGAATTAAAGATTTAATATTTAGACATAACATTTAACATTTTAATCTACAATTTAGTAAAAAATAACTAAATGTAAAAGCAGTGAGCTAAATAACAATAAAACGTTATTGAAAATTTGAACTAGGATTTTACACCCAGAAAGTGAGCTGAATAAAGAAAATGTGTCGGTGACATTTCATAACATTTCTTTTACACTTTGCGCCTCATACCAGAGCATAATCTGAGGATCAAGGCTCTTATTTCTAGTCACAACATACAGTTGTAGCACCAAACTGCTTCTGAGCAATTCCTTCGGCATCTCAATTGCAGGCGAAGTAATCTTTAAGTGGTGCAAACAGATGGCGGATAACAGGGACACTCCAAGATCTGCCCAGGAGTCTCTGCCTTGCCAGTCGGCTCATGTTGGACACATCCGTGTAGTGGACGGGGAAGCCAAAAACCCTGAGAGCAACCACAAGACCAGACAAACACAACCAAATTGACAGGAAGCATCACAAGACAAAAAAAAGTTATTTTGACATTCAGTTCTGAAAATGCGGTGTCATCATAGTTATTCTATGTTTTACATACCTCTCCATTTCAGTGCACCAGAGTATATCTTCTTTCTCATTCATGTAGACAGGGAAGTGCTGGTCCTTGCCCTGCTTGATGGAGTTAGATCTTGTGGTGATGGTCCTTACTTTACCAAACTTTCAAAAGAATAAAAATAAAAAACATCCGAGCATGAATACAAATTTTTTTTTTTTTACCTTAAATACATAAAAAGAAACAAGTCTGAGATACAGCAAATTCTATTTTATATCCCACTGCCAAAGGTAAATAGATTTGTTTTGTTTTACCTGTGTGTTTAGTTATCTGTTAACAAAATGTCTCATGAACCACTGGACAAAGCTTAATGAAACTCTCAGAAAGTAATCACTGTGTGTAAATCTACAACTTTGATTTTTTTTTGGAGTCACTCAAAATTAAGATGACCACCACAGCCAACTGACCACTGGAAACAAAAACGTCTTCAACTCAGAAACTTTAAAAATTTCGAGCTAAGATTTGGTGTGGTAGTAGCTGAGCATCATTACTAATACAAACTCCTATTGCTACACACTGCATGAAAACCACTGTTTAAAACTTTGGCATTAACTGCTGGGGTAAACACTGTTTGTCTGTTAGCAGAATATGTCATGAAATACTTCACAAATCTTAATGAAACTTTCACAAAATAATTACTGAATTTACATCTAGAATTCAATATCTTTTAGGGTCGCCCTAATTCAAGATGGCAAATATATCAAAAACACAAATGGCGTGCTGGGTTACCCTCCAAGCTGATTTAGGGGATTTTTGTGCAAAATGAGCAACTTTAAGATTGACAAGCAATTACAACATTAAGCAATTAACATTAAGTGCAGCAGGAAAGCTAGCCTCATTCGTGGCTAACTCATCTCCACCAGCAAACCCACCCTAAGAAACTGCAACTGATGCATCTCAAAACTCTAGGTGAAATAAATAAAAAAGAAAGTGAAGTAGGTCTTCTGGAAATGTTCTTTGTTGAAAAGATGTTTTGTTTTTCTGCCAACAGACTTCTTCAGTCTGAGAAGTTACAGGTAAGCTCAGCCTGTAGGTGAGTGTAAACTGCCAAGTCCTGGCCTGATGATGTARCTCTTCTGTGCTGACCCATTATTTTGAACAGTGGCTGGTTTGTTTCCCCGATGTATAACTATGTATATACAGCATACGCAACATTACTATGTTTGTGCTGGGGTACTAGATCTTTGAGGTGAGCCAGTCTTTGTCAAAGCGAGACAGTGTGTTTAGGAAATGAACATCTCAGTTCCTCTGAAACTCCCACAACATACGAAATGACCACTGGTCTGGGTTTGGCGTTTTCCTTTTCAACCAGTGGCTACCTGGAATCTCGTTTAAGTTTTTGTTTGATTTCAAGAAAGCCCAGTTGGGATAACCACATTGCTCTATAGCCTGTGATGTGTGTGATTTCTCCTTCTCCCTGGCTCCCCAGGCAGCAATCCCACTTATTTCCATGGCTTAGCTTGTTACTGAATTGAAAATAACAGAGGCCATCACTCATTGAAGATGTTTCCTCATTGATTCAAGACTCCATGAAACCTCCCCAAGCCTCACTGAATTTGTTGCAAACAATTCGTGAACTCCTTCCAAAAACGCCTCACCTCTGAAGAGTCTGTGGCTGGTGACAATTTTGTCCGTTAGAGCAGTGGTTCCCAAACTTTTTATCTTCTGACCCACAAAATATCCATGGCAAAAACTTGTGACCCCAAATATTACTGGTCTGATTACACAAATGTTGTTAATAACCCTAAAAACACAGGCTTTTTGACAATCTAAACAGCTTATACACAAATATAAATACTTATTTATACTTATTTTGTGATTTTATAATAGTTATAGGGAAAATATTACATCAGCAATTATTTTATTACCCTTTAAATTGATTTCTGGAGATTATCCAAGGTGCTTCATGACCCATAATTGGGTCCCAAGCCCAACTTTGGGAACCAAAGTGCAGTGGTTCCCAAACTTTTCAGCTTTTGACCCACAAAATARCAGTAGCAGAGACCTGTGCCACCAACTATTTTTGGATGATAAACATTTGTATCAGGTCAACAAAACATGGGCATAGAAACAATTTTTTATACTACATTTATCCATTTTAAATACACTAACCTCACTGCTTTGTAACAACTAAGGCAAAAATGTAATTAATTCAGAAAATCTTTTCAGGACCCCACCTTGATGTTTCGGGACCCCACTTTGGGTCCCGACCCCAACTTTGGGAAACACTACGTTAGACTCTGGTTGAATCCACCAGTAAAAAGCTGAAAGCTTAAAACATGTTTCAACTGGACCAACTTGACAACCTTAAGCACTGCTCAAGAAGAAACAACCTCTGCATTTTGATCATGGTTGAAAGAGTTGAGGATGGCACAGACCCAATCAGGCTAATTTCAAAAGTTCTGATGAAGCTACCGGGCCCCAACGTCATTTCTCAAAACATGAGGACTATTTGCTAACAATCTAGCTTTTACCAAGCTAAACTTTGCAGGAGTCAACAGGTTAGCTTCACGGGGGGTAGCCTGACGAAGCGGCTGCAGGTTCTAGAGGTTCACTCTAACCTAGAGTGGATGTGGGTAACTAATCACCCAAATGTTCAAAAGGGTTGGCAGTCATATTTCAGCAATGGAGAAACAAGCACAAAGGACAAAAAAGTGCATGATCACAGACAGCAGAGACAGATGGAGAGCCAAGCACAGAGGCACCATCTTTGACCAAAATGGCTAAAACTCCATCATTTCACAGCATATGACAAACTTTAAAACTGTCATGAAAGACAAATGTCAATTTGCATTTCTTTAAGGAATGCTGTGCCTTTAATTTAATGTTTTAGAGACAGGATTTGTTAAAAAGAACTTTATAAATATAGTAAATCACTGTTTTTCTAAACTGATGTGATAATTGTTGCCTCTTGCTGAAACATTGTTTCATGAAGTGTGCCAAGCTGCGCTTTCCTGATTCTGTTTGAGATGCTTTACTTAAAATAAATATATTAGATGTAAAACTTGTAATAGTTTATGCCTCTGATTAAATCAGATTTGCCTTTTTGTTTTCATCTTGACTTTTACAAATGTACCTTAGCGGTTCTGCCATGTTCCAAACAGTCCTGGAGGTCCAGCCTGTCGGTGCACATTGCTGTCAAAGGCCTGCAGAGAAAAGTGAACATAAATAAACCTTTTACATCTGTACTTCATTTTACTAATGTTCAGTCCACATAGTTTTTCCCTAGTTATATATTATTATTTATTTTTTGCAAAGTACCACTATCCTTACTTTCTTTTTTCTAACCCTAACCTTAAACCTAACTCATTCTGTATAGAAAATACAAAGCTCAATCAAGAATAGTGTCCTGTGACTTTTTCTGTAAATTGTATTTTTATATAAATTTATTTATAATAAAATTCCCATAAAAATAGTGCATTAAGTTTTTTCAGTTCCTTCTAAAACATTGTTTTTTAATGTTTTTGGGCTTGCTGTATTTTAATGTTCTTATGGTATGTTTAGCTTTCAGCTACGATTCTTCTGCTTATGGCGTTTAAAAACTGTTTTGTTACTTTTACTATTGTTCTGCTTCTTTAGCCACCAATATGCTCTTTTAGTTCTTTTAGGTCTTTTGGTTTTAGCTACAATTTTACTAATTTTAACTACAGTTTTGCTGCTTTTAGCTTTATTGTCTGTTTATCTACCTTTACCTACCTACTGCTTTGCTAATAATATAAATTGTTTACCTAGTTTGTCTTAAGGCCCACATACACACTAGACAACGTATGCCAACTTATGAACATTTTAAAGACATCTACACTCACCGGCCACTTTATTAGGTACACCATGCTAGTAACTGGTTGGACCCCATTTTGCCTTCAGAACTGCCTTAATTC